GGTAAATATTGTAGAAATAAAAATTTTGCACAATGAAATCGACGGGAAGGACTCGAATCCAAGACTAGCAATATATAAATGTAAGTTTTTACCAACTAGGCAAAAGAAGGGTTTGAAAATAAAATGAATTATCAGTTATATAACATAAAATTTTTATCTATTATCGAAAAAAAAAAAATTTCTTCTCGACGAATCTAGTTAGGGCGACCACGTAAATCCGCCCCCAATAGAGAGTGTTTCCTTGAAAGCACATAATATCATTAATTTCATTGTTGTTTTTCTTGGTGGGGTTATTTTGTTCAAAGTCAAGGAAAACTCACAAAGTAGTTGGTTGATATAAAAGCGTTTGAACTAAATTTAGATTGAAGTCAAAAGTTTAAAAATGCTCTAGAAGTTCACGCCTTGCATGGAGTTTGACCTTTGCTTAGTAGAATCACGTAATGGATATGTTGTCTTAATTTTGCTATCTCCTCTTCAACTAGCATCTAACAAAATCATGATATGAAGTGTAATATCTCACATTAAACCAAACATGAAACTATTAATCAGTTTTGGATTACTCCTTTGGCGAAGTTGATCTTTCAAGATGCCCGAAGTCTTGATATGATATCAGAATCATTAAGTTGCAACGAACAGTTCAATTAAAATTCAAACCAGCACATAATTTCAAAATTGATGTGCTGAAACGAGTTACCATTTCACGGGGTTTATAAAGGATAATATCCCTCATTGAGTAAATGCAAAATGTCTATCCAATATATAAGAATTTTAATTACTTTTTTTTAATAAAATTGAACTTTTAAAGATGGAATTCACATCAAAATTTTAAAGATCACACTTTAAAATTATAATGAAATGTCAAGATTTTATTGATCACATAACAAAAAATAGGACCCCACTCTGTTAAAAGAAGAATATTTTGACATCGTCCGTGATTTAGGGATCTCGAGAAGTGGACAAATTCAAAGGGTGGCTCCTTTTAAAGTTTTTCTAAAGAGAACTGATTTCTAATATACAATTAATGTGAGTTGAAAATGAGGGCTACCATATCAATACTTCTATAACAAGAAATATCTATAAATAATTGGAATTCATAAAAATTTCAATAACGAATTGATTTGACATCCCGTCCCCTATATGGTTTTAGAGTGAATTCCGTGGAAGGATTGTCCACCTTCAATAATAGCATTTTCGATAATCTAGCTAGATCTTATATGATTACGCCCCGTTTCGCTGGGCCCCATTTTTTAAAATGAAAATGAGTGAAATAATATATTTTTTTAAATGAGTAATTGAAAAAGAAAGAAATTTCTTTCGATTTATGTTTAATATTATTTTATGAAAAATTGTGTAGTTGAAAATAGAAGAGAGAAAAATGAAATGTAATGGAATGAACGCCAAACGAGAGTTTGCAGTTTTAAAATATGCATCATAAAACCTCTCTTCTTAATCATATATTATAATTTAGTTTTGTTAATTGTAAATATTATATAGCCCCGTGATATTAATGAAACAAAGTAAAAACTCACATTTATTATGTTGTTCATTTTTGTCTCTTACCATGTAAAACTACAGAAAGAGTGATATATTCTATTTTCATTACATTATTTTTCATTTTTTTCCTCTCCTATTTTCAACCACATAATCTTTCATAAAATAATATTACACGTAAATCGAAAACTTTTCTTTCCTTTTCAACCATTCATTTTTTTTAAAAATAAACCATTCTTGTAAATTCATAAACAAATGGAAGCTTCTAATGTGAATGTGCGATCTCAATATTTTATGGCTAGTGAATATTCGTGAAAATTAAGAATAACTTTCAATCTTAATTTTCATATGTACTAATTAACTTTGGTATATATTGTACTTAATGTTGGGGGATATTGAGTCTTTAAAAGGTTGTATCCCAACCTTAAGGGTCCCCCCATCGTCCCGTCCCTGGAATATTGTAAGAGAGGTTAATCGCGGGATATGCCTCAACAGGTTAGGGAACAAGAGCTGCCCGTACACTGGTACCCACAAAGAATCTCAATCCATGTTTCAGGAATTGAACCCTCACACTGCGACTATCAGCAAGGCTGAGTATATCTCACCCTTATTCTTTGCATCACTAAAATATGCCTCGGGGGGCGGTATTGAATCTTTCTCACCCCAAAAGTTAGTTCAAGAAGTAAGACTTTTTCTCACACATATAAATTAAATATCAATCACATCTACAATCAATATGGGACAACCTCAACATTTTTTTTAATGCTTTAACGAATGTTTGGTTGTAATTAAAATAAGATTTTTAGTAGACTTTAATAAAAGTTGATGAAATATGTGGTTGAAAAATTGTGAATCATGTGAAATATGTGGTTAAAATTAATTGTTGATTTTGATTTAAATTTAAATGTAAAATTTAAATTTTACCAAACAGTGACTTAGAAAACTTTGCATAATTAATCAAACTACCAAACCACATATATTCTTAATATCGATTAGTCAACTTTTTACGCACGGAAAAGTCCGCTCGTCCCTGTATCTCTCAGGTCTTCACCAAATCATTATACATTTCTTTTGTAACTTTATTTTTGGATCACTTTTGTCAACAAAAATTAAAAACAATCTACTTTCAAACAAATCTTACGCGGATTCAACATTATCTTTATTAATCAATGAAATCGTCGTGTCGTTTAATACATAACTAACTGCGTTGGCGTAATGCTGTTTGGCAATTATTTTGTAATTTTTTTCTCATTTTAGAGTGAGTGAAAGGGAAAGTAAGCTTTGGATTAATAATATATCAAATATATTAAATTATATAGTTGGTTATTTCTATTGATTTTGAGTTTTTTCCTTTTTCATCACTTTTTCAATATTAGCTCATTGATGTATTTATGCCTTCAACTTATTATTATTATTATTATTATTATTATTATTATTATTATTATTATTATTATTATTATTATTATTATTATTATTATTAATTTGACATTATTATGCTCAACCTTTTTCATAAATTAGTATATTTATAGGTGTCAAACCGGATGTACTAGCCCGAAACTATTAGATCCATCCAAAAAGTTCAGTATGAGAATCGGCCTTAGCCGATCATGAGCTACTACAACGTAACCACCAATTTAGAACGAGTCTTATGCTTGATCATGATGGTTGACAGCACTATTTAAATAGACCGAAGAAAAAGTTCCGACATTATTTTGGTTGGAAAAAAGCTACTTTGATTGAAGAACGTTAAGATTTCCAAAAGTGCGACACTACGTTTCGATTTGATCCAAGTTGACTTTTTCTAGTGGAAGATTGGATCTTTAAACTTTCAATTTTTAGATTTCTAATTGTTTAATTTTAAACTCTTTATTATTTGTTTATATTACTATATTATAGTCAATTTGTAGGGACATCATCTCATCATTTTGTTAGAAATCATGAATAAGTCCAAATTCTAATATTCTCATTGAGGTTTGCACTTCTGTGATTGATAGTCTGCTTTCCTTTAAAGCCTCGATAGCCAAGGTGCATATGTGGTTCGAGAATATTTGATGGCGAGGGTGTAATTTTCTTTTTTATTTTTATTATTTTATTTTATTTTATTTTATTTTTTTCCGCGCGAGGCATGCAATGAGACCCATTTGTGACTGACAAGGAGTGCTAATTAACAATAATTATTTCAACATGTAATAGTCATCTCTGGTTCCTTAAAATATTTTTGAGAGACTATTGTTAACAAATAATTTATTTATTGCTTGTGTATAAAAAATAATTGTTAATTTAGTTAACCCAAAATATCCAATGTCGATGTCTCATTTTACTTGCCTATTTTAGTTAATCAATAAGGCCGATGTCACTATTAGATTGGTGCCTCTCGATTACTATCTTTAATTTGGTCGCAATCATCTAATATTATATTATATTATATTAAAGGTCCGTTTGATAGCATCATATTCCATGAAAAATGTCAGATTCGAAGAATTCGTCTTCTACCTCGACTATTTAATACGAAAGTAGAAATGGAGTTCGAATTCCAAAGTACAAACATTTAAAACATGTTTTTGGCCAATTCCATGAAAATCGAATACTCATGGTTTTGGTGATTCTTTCTTTTTCAACTTACATAAAATTGATTTGCCTTTTTAACTTGCTTGCCTATTTTAGTTAATCAATAAGGCCGATGTCATTATTAGATTGGTGCCTCTCGATTACTATCTTTAATTTGGTCGCAATCATCTAATATTATATTATATTATATTAAAGGTCCGTTTGATAGCATCATATTCCATGAAAAATGTCACATTCGAAGAATTCGTTTTCTACCTCGACTATTTAATACGAAAGTAGAAATGGAGTTCGAATTCCAAAGTACAAACATTTAAAACATGTTTTTGGCCAATTCTATGAAAATCGAATACTCATGGTCTTGATGATTCTTTCTTTTTCAACTTACATAAAATTGATTTGCCTTTTTAACTTGCTTGCCTATTTTAGTTAATCAATAAGGCCGATGTCATTATTAGATTGGTGCCTCTTGATTACTATCCTTAATTTGGTCGCAATCATCTAATATTATATTATATTAACGGTCCATTTGATAGCATCGTATTCCATGAAAAATGTCACATCCGAAGAATTCATTTTCTACCTCGACTATTTAATACGAAAGTATAAATGGAATTCGAATTCCAAAGTACAAACATTTAAAGCATGTTTTTGGCCAATTCCATGAAAATCGAATACTCATGGTCTCGGTGATTCTTTCTTTTTCAACTTACATAAAATTGATTTGCCTTTTTCACTTGCTATCAAACAGACTCTACGAGTTTTCTGGGAGAAAAAAAGGACATTGCTTAAAAGAACAAAATATTTAAGCTTTTACCTCGTCAAAACATTCAAACTTTGAAATGTCGCACAAGAGAAATCTACAAGTTAGGTAACCGGCTGAGGCAAAAGTACCTAGAGAGAGCAGTTAACAACTTGCCTATATATACATTAGATTCTTCCTTATAATGGGCACAACACACGTTCTTCTTAGTTCTATTTGTTAGATATTCTTCAAACTTAATTTCCAATGGCCTTTTTCAAGAATGCCATTTGTTTGGCTATACTTGTCATCTTAATAGGAAACTCGTCAGCTCAACTTTCCACGGGTTTTTACTCAACATCTTGTCCGAACCTTTTTTCCACTGTCAAATCTGCTGTGCAATCTGCTATATCAAAGGAAGCTCGAATGGGCGCCTCTCTACTTCGCTTATTCTTCCACGATTGCTTCGTCAATGTAATTTTCTTATTACAGCTTTTATTCGCTATATTATCGAATTTTATGTTGCATGTAGTACTGTATATCAGCATCAGAAACACCACTTACACTTGATGCTCGTAAGTCATTTGATGTCTAAATTTTTGTATCGCCCTAATAATAGTCGCACGGACACATTTGCACCTGCAAGCATAAATTTATATTTATTTGACTCTTCTTTTGCTTCATGGCATTCTTTCTAGAATCAACCATCCACCTGCTCGACCAAAAAAAAAAAAAAAAAAAAAAAAAAGGGTTTCTGTCACAATTTCTACCTTTTACGGCCAAGTTCAGTTCATTTTCGACAACTATTATTTGAAAACTCTTTTTTTCTATATACTCAGTCCTTATTTGATGGCCATTATTTAGCAAAAAAAATTTTTGATTAATGATTTTTGGTCAATGTGTCGTTAAAAAATGTCTGAAAATGTTTAGAGCTTACGTACAGAATGTTTTATTATGTGAATATGCGATTGAAAATAAGTATGTAAGATAAATAGTTTTGAAATGATGGTTTTCAAATATGTCCTCATTTTCAACCACATATTTACATAATAAAATATTCTATATGTAAATTCAAAATTTCTCTACTTTTTAACTACATATTCTTCTAAAAATATCTATTCAAAACATTATTTGGCCAAGTAATGGCCATCAAAATGGGTCTTAATTACCACTGGGCGAATGGTGAGAATGAAAGAAAATATTAGTTCAATCTACTAGAGCAGAGCATAGTTGTAACACTTTCTGCCTACTGATGAATGTAACATAATGTGAGTCACGATTATAAAATGGCAAATCAGCACCAGTTTGTAGATACCAAATTATGGGCGACGTGGCATGTGAGTAGTTCTTGAAAAGTCCACAAAATAAATATACCTAAGTGTATGATATATTTCCATCTTAAAATACAAACTGTGTGTCCATAGTTCATCTAACTTGATGTTGATACCTTTCCAGGGATGTGATGGGTCAATCCTTCTTGACGATACTTCTTCTTTCACTGGAGAAAAGAACGCAAATCCAAATCGTAATTCTGCCAGGGGATTTGACGTTGTTGACAACATAAAGTCTGCTGTTGAGAATGTGTGCCCTGGAGTGGTATCTTGTGCTGATATATTAGCCATCACTGCTCGAGATTCTGTTGTCACCGTAAGTTTGGCTACAAAAAAATTGGCTAAACAGCACTAAACCCCCTTCCTATTGGGCATGCTGTTGAAAACTCATATCTTTTGGAAATAGTAAAAAAGTCTATATTTGAAACCTTTAGTATGGAATACCCCATGCCGTCCCATTTTTTACTTTTTGTTTTATTCAAAAATCAGGGTGTATTTGTCGTTTTCAGTTCTTTTATTGAGAAGAATAGACGTAAGGGACCTCTTCCGTAAATTCCAGTAGGTGTTTTGGAAGTGGGGGTGGGGCGGGGGGGTTCACACCATGTCTAATAGGTCTGGTTTTGCCCTTTTTTACACTTTCCCTATTTATTGGGATTTAATAACAACATTGATGGAACATGAAGACAAGGGGTATTCCACATTAAAGGTTTTGGACAGGGACATTTTGAGCTATCTCCAAAAAGTATGAATAATTGTTCATCGATGCTTAACATAAATTAAGTATCAGTGTTTAGGAAATCATTAGTATGAATATGTATTCATACCAAATAGTATACACATTGGGTTGTGCAGTTTGAACAGGGCCACAGACCCCCCATAAGTGGATCCCCTGTTTGAACAGAGCCGACATGGCCCAGTTCGAGAACAATCATTCACACATTCGAGTCTTTTAGAACACGTATATTATTTATAGAATGTGGAATATTTTCAAATAATAATATATAGTATGTATAATCCTAATTGCAGCTTGGAGGCCCTAACTGGAATGTAAAACTTGGAAGAAGAGATTCAAGAACAGCAAGCCAGGCTGCTGCAAATAATGGCATCCCCCCTCCAACTTCAAATCTTAATGCCCTTATTTCAAGATTCAGTGCTCTTGGACTTTCCAGCAGGGACCTTGTTGCTTTATCTGGTTTGTTCTCTTTACCAGCTCTTCTTACTTTCATTCTCCTTGTATTCAAGCTTTTAGATGAGGGGCTTCAACGTAGCATTCGATCAGGCAAAGATCCAGGAATCAGCTTTTGCAAATTAACACGGTATATATATTCTTTTGCAAATCCTGCAGGTTCTCATACAATTGGGCAAGCAAGGTGCACCAGCTTCAGGGCTCGTATATACAACGAAACCAACTTGGACAGTTCATTCGCACGGTTAAGGCAACGAAACTGTCCCAGAGCCAGTGGTTCAGGGGACAACAACTTGGCACCTTTGGATCTTCAGACTCCAACAAATTTTGACAACGATTATTTCAAAAACCTTGTGACTCAGAGGGGACTCCTACATTCCGATCAACAGCTTTTTAGTGGTGGATCCACTAACTCAATCGTCTCAACTTACGCCAACAATCCGAACAACTTTCAATCTGATTTTGCCTCCGCCATGATTAAAATGGGGGACATTAGCCCCCTCACAGGATCAAATGGAGAGATAAGGAAGAACTGCAGAAGGATTAATTGAGAAATCTTAATTTTCTGGTTTTATTCGTTGTTTGAAAAATTATGCTAATAATAAGATATATCTATGTTTTGTTTGGGATAGGGCGTCGGGGAGCTTTTACTTATTTCTAGCTTCTTACTTTTTATGTCAAGATGTATTATCAATGTAGTGTTTTTGTATTTGTATTAAGTTCGTGAAGACGTGAACGGACTTGATATCTTGAATAAAAAGGCAATTTATAGTTCCTCAAGCATCTAAAATACTTATTTTCTTGTAAAAAAATGGTAGATTGATGCTCAAAAGGTAATATTGGAAAATGACACAGGACGAAAACATAAATAATAAAAATAATAAATGTTCTTGTTCATAACAAACAAATGGGCGTTACTCGAATTTCATTCAGATGGACTCGAGAATTATTAGAATCCACAAAATAATGGAAAAACTGAATTATTATTTATCAAAAAGGTCTGAAGGGGCTTTCAAACCCTCAACATATATTTAAAGAGTCAAAAAAAAAAAAATCCTTATCAAATCAATTTTTTAATTCTATAGATAAAACTTAATGAAACTCAAAAACTATAAAAATCTCAAAAATACCATTAAATTAATTTAAAAGAGAATTTTTTAAAATAAACCCCTAAAAGATGAAATTTTGACCCTAAAGTCCGATGATATTGACCAAAGGCCTATCATCACCTTATAAACAAGTGTAGAATCAAAAAGTTCTTTAAGGGTTGTACTCGTTTCAGTATGTTTAACACCCGAGATGAATGTTAAGCGTATTTTCATCTATCCTCCTCCTTTTTTCCAATTGGTTTATAATCTTCCCTCATAACTTTTCTACATCATTCTCTTTCACTTTAGAACAACTTGATCGTAAGTTTTCATCAGGATACCAATGCTCCTCACTAGCTGACACATACTCATAAATATCTGCAATATTAAAAACTTAGAAATCTTCATGTACCGAAGAAGATCAATGACATATGCATTATAATTAATCTTTTGCAGAATTTGAAAATGGCCATACTTCTTTTGATTTAGTTTTTCGGACTTCCATCATGCTCTTTCTTAGAAACGCCCTAACCATCTTACACACATTAAATGCCTTTCGGCATCTATGTATATCAGTAGCAATTGTTCACCTAGTTGTTCAGTTGCTACACTTTTTTTATAATTGTTTCCCTAAACTCCTTTACATTAGAGAAAAAATTATTGGCTGAATTTGCAATAGCTAGGAAAGATTTCCTTCCACTTTAGAAGTCTTTTGCGTACTACGTGTAGGTGCAACCATGATTTTTTTATCCTTCGCTGGAATATGTAAGTGTTCTCTCTACTTCTATGTACAACATCTATGTCAAAATGCTAGGTCTACACAATAGAATATGAATTGCATCCATCTCAACAATAGCACAAATAACTTTTGAATTGTAAAAGGTTCCCTTAAACAAGGTACTTTGTAAATTCGAGTCACCTGAATATCAGGCCCTTCTTAATCCAACCAATTTGATAAGGAGTTGGATGTGGTTCGTTCAGCAGCTTCACATGATCCACCACTTTTTGATGATCAGATTCTCAGAACCACAACTATCTATAATCAGACTACAAACAATATTACTAACTCGACACTTGGCCAGAAAGATCTCTCTATGCCGAATCTTTCTTCTTGCATGGACGAGTATGAGATTTCCTCTACAATGCACACAAACTCTCCTTGTTCTTTTTCACACACTCCATCGATGTATTTTTCTTTTTTCTCTTCCTCGTCTCTTAGATATTCTTGATCGTCATCCTCTTCATTAACTATTTTGCCTAATAAATGTTAAATTCGCACTTATCTAAGTCATCAAAAATGGCTTTTTCACTACTATATAAAAGGACAATGTTTCACTCTGTAGAAAGAGCAGTAGATTCTTCCATTTTGTCTTACTGTAGCTTTTTTTTTTATTGAGAGAAAGCAACGACGTCGTTTATCTTACGCGTTTGATACAATGACTTTGTTGCTTTTCCTCAATTTATGTGACATAAATGATTATGTCATAGAGCCCTATTTACTCTTTCTCCATTTTTACACGCTGCAGTCATGTCTCTCTATTTCCCCACACTAATTCAAGAGCAAAAGTATGAATTCCATAAATATATGATTGAAAATATTATTAAAGAAAAATAAATTTTAAAAAATGAAAACCAAACATGTTAACAAATGAATATATTTATTTTTCGAAAAATAAGTTTTTATTACTATTTCATTTTTATCGTGAAATGAGTCTAATTTTAATATGTTACTTTGTGCTTCAAAATTACATAATCTATCAAATATAATTTTTAAAATTAATTTTTATAAAGTAATATATTTTTATGAATTTTTTTTTTTAGTAAAGTAAACGGAGGCTCGTGTTGAGATCTCCAGAATTACAGAGGCTCATGCTTGAGCCTCCGTTCCATGTTGAACCTCCATAACATTTTATTTTTTAAAATTAATAAAAATTTAATTATTTTATATTTTTTAGTACTATTATATTTCACCTTCCAAAAAAAAAAATTCATAAAAATATATTACTTTATAAAAATTAATTTTAAAAATTATATTAGATAGATTATGTAATTTTGAATCACAATCTAACATATTAAAACTAGAATCATTTCATGATAAAAATGAAATGGTAAAATAAATATATTCATTTGTTAACATGTTTGATTTTCATTTTTTAAAATTTATTTTTCTTCAAACATATTTTCAATCATATATTTATGGAATTCACACTTTTACTTTTGAATTAACCCCCTCAATAAATTATTATTTAAACGGTTCGTAAATATTTTGATTGATATTATTTTTTGGTCATCCAAATGGTTATTATATACCTTTTACATACATATATAAAAATAATGTTTTTATTTAAACTTACTTATGTGTTCAAAAATAAACTTTCTAAAGATACATGGTTAATAGCGTGAGAAAATGGTGAAAGAGATAGTGTGGAGAAATAGAGAAGCATAGTTGTAACGTGTAAAAATGAAGAAAGAGTAAGTTTCCATTATTTTATGTATTTTTATTTTAAGAATATTAAAAAAATTAAGTTGATTAAATGAAATTAAATTATTGTACTGAGAGCCAATGAAAAAAACAGAAAGCAAAAAAAATGCACGTTGAGGCCTTCGTAATTATGGAGGCTCATGCTTGAGCCTCCATATTATGGAGGTTTTATCTCCATGAACCTTCCATGATATGGAGGCTTTGCTTCATAATATGGAAGTCTTGCCTCCATAAAATATATACTAAAATTATTTTTTTTAAATGTTGTTGGCATGATGCGTGTGTGGAAGAATATTTGTCAATCACTATAAACAAAATTTTTCACAAAATGCAAAAAATAAAAATCATAATAAATCTTCTTATTACGCTAATAAAATTACAATAATTTTTATTTTTTTTTACAAATAACATAAAAAATTATTTTTACTTTCAACAAAAAAATACATTTAAAAATTAACAATTTCATAGCCACTTTTTTTTTTTAAATTTTCGAAAATACAATTATAAAATAAAAAATAATTAAATTTTTATTAATTTTATAATATAATATGTTATGGAGGCTCGTACTTGAGCCTCCATAACAATTATGGAATGCTGATGCCTCCATATGCTAATGCCTCCACTAGCATGATGCCTTCACTTGAGCCTCCATAACATGAGGCTCCATTATTACTTTACTTAAAAAAATATATATATATTAATAAGAACATATTACTTTATAAAAGTTAATTTTAAAAATTATATTTGATAGATTATATAATTTTGAAGCACAATCTAATATATTAATATTAGAATCATTTCATGATAAAAATGAAATGATAATAAAAACTCATTTTTCGAAAAATAAATATATTCATTTGTTAATAAATAAAAACATTATTTTTATATATGTACGTAAAAGGTATATAATAACCATTTGGATGACCAAAAAATAATATCAATCAAAATGTTTACAAACCGTTTAAATAATAATTAATTGAGGGGGTTAATTTAAGAGCAAAAGTGTGAATTCCATAAATATATGTAAAAAAAATTCGCTTAAAGTTATTAAAAAGTAAAAAAAATAAAATTATAATTATAATTATAAAAATTACTTGTAACTTAACAATATATTAACTTAAAAATTTGGAGTAAATATTTAAATATATTTAATTTTTAAAATTAAATATTAACTTATATGTTAAATAGATGATCTATAAATAAAATATCATTTAAATAAAAAAAATATCGAAGGAATCTCTCCATATTTATTATGGAGACTTGATCTCTCCATGAGATCAAGCCTCCATATCACGAAGGATTTTTCCTCCGTGATATGGAGGCTTGTTATGAGAGACCAAGTCTCTTGTTATGGATAGATCAAGCCTCCGTATTACGGAGGGTTGAGACTTCCAAGCATGGAGACTAATTTTTTCTTTGAATTTGTTTATTAGTAATATTTTTATTTGTTGATATTTTTTGCTATCACTATTTTATTTCCAACAATCACTTTTATGTAAGAAATTATTAACAAAAAAAAATACAGACAAAAAATATTTGTAAAATGTAAGAAATTACTTATAAGTAAAAAAATCTACAATTTTGACGCTAACAAAAATACAATAAATATAAAACTCGTTCAGTGCACGTGTCAAAGGCTAGTGTTAGTATTAATGTGAACTTGATTATTAATTAATTGTATTTTTAGGTTATGTTAGTAGAAAACTTGAGATCAGATCAAGACGATCGAAATTTGGATAAAACACATAATTTTGGGATCGAATTCTACACTTTAAAATTTTATCGAATTCTACATTTTAAAATTTTGAAGGACTAAACTGAATAATCTTGAAGAATTGGGACCTTGGGGGCAAGAAATACACTTAACTGTGCCTTAGAAGAAAGACTTGGAGAGGAGATAAAATTCCAATTGTCAAGTGACGCGAAGGAAGTTGAATAAAAATAAATCGGGCCTAACCAACTGAAAAATGATTGAAACTCTAATTGAAATTAGATTCCTTTTAAAATGGAACAAAGATAGCAGCAGATTTAAATAAAAGGAGGTAGATGTACGTAGACGGACAAGACAACCACAAGAGAAGAAGAAAGAATAATTCCAGTTTTTTTTTTTTTTTTTTTTTTGTACAAAACATCATCAAGACATTGTGCAAGATTTATAATAACGATCCATCATCAAATAGCCAGAAGATTTATAATACATAAGGA